TAACAGTTTACGCTGTATTTATTCAAGAATGCTTACTGTTTCTATATAAAAATAAAATACTCTTTAGGAACTTTGAGCCCAATAGTATAGTAAATACCAGGTTAATATAATTATAAAATTCCAATACACAGGTTAAGTATAACAGAAAAAAAACGCTCTTTTATTGCTGCATCAAATTGTCTAATAAACTGCCTGAACCTATTAAAAGGGAGGAAAGATTAAGTTTGTATAAACATCAAATATTTAAATTACTGGTAGCTCTTGAGCCATATTCTGTGAAGGACTATTTGTATATGTTAGGAATAAGTAAATAATATTTTCGTTTGTGACACTGTTTTTTTTTAAATAATTTTATGTTCTCGGAATGTATATTATTTTCTAAAAATAAAGATATTGTTATTGTTATTATTGTTATTATTTTATGGTTAACAACTTAATTGAGAAACATCTAGAGGAATGATTTTGGCAACACCACTCAAAATATCCATCTATGGGAAGCGATAAGTGGTTTGACAGCATAATAAAATCTTAGATTTATGTGTAGCTTTCAATTTTTATATGTGATAGGTGGGGCAACCTATTTGGGTAGAGTTTTGAATTGTTCTTGAATGATTTCAAAATCCAGCAGCCCGCTAAAGTATTGGATTTTTATAATATAATTATTTGACAACCTTTTGTTGGCCAACCACCTAGAACAGAATTGAGCCGAAATACATAATATTTCAGATGTTCGGAATTTATTTCATTCAATCTGTATATGACTACCACAACGAAAACTCTGTAAGTAACAGGTTAGAAGCAGGACAATGATGTGAATGTTTCCATTAAAAAAAGCAAAAGTATGATTCATACTTGTCCAATGTGTTGCAGTTGTATGGGTATAATAAACAGGCATTTATCAACATACTGAAGCCAAGTTTACTTAGTAATAAGGCATTTACTACACACTTTACATAACTTTTCTATGGTTGTTATGAACAATTACAAAATAAGTAATATATAAACTCTTTATTTGATGTTTCAATCTGCAGATTGTAAAGGGACGAACAATTTGAAAAGGTCATCAAAAATCTATGTTGACATATAAATTTCAATTTATAATTTTATTTTGGTTTAGTTACAAAGATAATTTAAGAGAATATTTGTATCCTTATAAAAATAGGGAAAACATATGGGCAGCATTAACTTTCAACCAATTGAGTTCTAATTCTAAAGTAAGAAACAGTGTACAGTTATGAAATATTATTTGATAACTCTTTAAAGGAAAATTCAGATAGTCTTGAAATTCTGAACATTTCCTCTCGGTGTAAAGAACCCTATTAAAGTTTGGTTTAATAGACTTCTCATATTCTCATACTTTTATTTTTCTTAAAGTGAAAGTCCTAAAGGCAAAGTCCTAGAATCTTTAAACTTGGTTTATATGTGTGTCTTTAATGAAAAACCATACATAATTTGAGGTCCACCAGTATTCTTCTTACCATTTTCTTATGCCTTTCCTTGTTCTTAAAGGAAAGGTCTTACATTCTTAAAACTTGGTACATAACTTCCTATTCATGTTAAGAAGAAACCTATTTAATTTTGAGTCAATAGGTGTTATTCTTCCTCTCATATTCATATCATTTATCTCCTTAAAGGAAAATCCCCTGGAGACTTGAAAAATTGTACATAGGTTCCTCTTTTTGTAAGGAAGAATCATATTGAATATGGAATCACAAGAACTTCTTAGTTTTCTTATCTTCTTATGCATTTCTTTTTTCTTGAAGGAAAAGTCCTATCCTCTTAAAACTTGGTATGTAAGTTTCTCTTCATGTTAGGATGAACCCTACTGAATTTGGTGTCAATAGGTTTTCTTTTTCTTAACATATTCATGACTTTTCTGCTTCTTGAAGGAAAATTCCTAGAATCTTTAAACTAAGTACATAGGTTCCTATTGTCTTTCAAAACTTTATAGAATTATTTACTTACATAACCTATTTTTATGATTAAAACTTTACAAATGACATACAAGAATGAAAAGAGGCACACTTAGGGACTTCATACATGTACCCACATCAAATTTTCATTTTTTTTAATTTCAAATGTTGAACATATGAGAAATGGGGCAAATACACTAACAATTTTCAACTCTTCAAGTGTTACCTGTTTAATATATCAAAGGTACACTGATAACTAAACAGATATCATTAGTAAACACACACAGATATAAAATTCTATAAAATTAAAACAAGTGTTGCTATAACTATCTTATGCTGTGCATACCTCATGCACAGAAAACTGCATTTTCTTTTAACAATTATGTTCATTTGGTTGGAAAATATTTTTGAGATATAGGTAACCTCTAAACCTGTTTTCCTAAATTAAATTAAACAGTTGGTCAAACATATAGAAAAACAAGATAATAGAAACACTTGTTACATTCTACCTACAATCCAAATGTACAAGTACACAAAACACATGAACTAATAGTTACTTATTGGAATCATTTTAAAGCTTTGTTTTCATCTTTCAACTTTATTTCATTTATTCACAAAAAGAGCATAACAACTATTGTAAACACAAGGTAAACTTCTGGCAATAAGTTTGTTGGCAATGAATCCTGATGCAACCAGTTAAATAAAACTATTTTTAAAACTAATACAAATATTGTTTTTGTGGTATAAAGTCTGTCTAATCAACATAATGAAATTATTTAAAATAAGTATAAATAAATACTATATATTTAGTAGTTTGCTTTTAGCCAATTTACATTGAATGGGAAAATCCACAATCCACACTGCAATTATTTTTGAGGGTCAATTAATCATACCTTTAAATAGAAACAGCAGTTAATTTTTTTACATCTTAATAATTTCAAATTTATGGAAAACATAAATAAAACATATTTCTTTTTCGCCTTTATTGCTTTACTGATCATCTCCTACGTTTGTTTAAACCAGAACAATGAATTTAATTTGAAACTACCTTTTACACTTACCCATATAATTAAATGACTGTATACACTACAATAAACTCGACCTCCAACAACGAAACTTGACTGATTACTGAATTCGAATTGAATTTACACTGATCCGCGTAGGTACCGCTTTGCCGCTATCGAATAGTAAACAAAACAAATCAAGCAGGCAGAAAACCGAATAAATATTTGAATAAAATCGATTAAATGGCTCAGTTAAGAGCCAAAAATGTTTTCATCTATTAACGACGTATATTCGCACCTTCCTGTGGGCGCTGATATTACTGTGTTTGCTAATATGTACCCAACAGGTAATTTATTTTTAGTTTTAATTAAATTAATGGCTATTAACGAAATTTAGAGAGCCTGTGGCTGTTTTGTACTTATTTATTTTTAAGGTCAACATTTTCAATGTGTTCATTTCACCGGCCTGTTCGTTTGTAGTACACCAAACAAATCGCTTCCTATAACATCGCTTCATCGGTGCCAAATCGTCAAAAGGTATGAACAAAAAGAGATATTTTTGTGTTGTAAAACAATAACATCTGGTATTTTGTAGTACTTTTTTATAATAATAATAACATTGGACCTTTAGTCTTACTGTATAATTTGTAAATAGGTTCATTGTATTGGTATGGCAAGCAGTATTTAAATTTGGATTTAAAAGCCTGTTATTATATTTTTATACATTTGACAACAGTGCTTCTTAAGTGTTTCAATGTAAAAAATTTTGACAGCTCGGTACTATATCTATCTCGTTCTTATGTACATTAAGAAAGTACAACTGACTCTTTCTACAATCAGGGCCGGATTCGATCAGTCTTCATTTGATTTTTGAATATTATTATTCTGTTTTTATGATTTTGATTTTATCACTCAAAGGCTATGTACTGTGTCTCAGACATATCCAATGAGGGTCATTTAAAAGTTAAATCGAATTACGCTTTTTCCAGATGGCTTGAAATATGTATTCATTTCTTTAAAACAGATTTACATTGGTTGTAATAAATATCACATTTTTAACTAACTAGTGTTTGACGTTTCGACTTCCACCCCGGAAATGTTCTCAAAAAAGATTATTATAAAAAATGCTGTAATGTATAAATAAATAATTTTGGTTATACATTTCCCAGAATTTTTTATAATAATCTTTTTTGAAAACGATTTCCGGAGTGGAAGTCGAAACGTCAAACACTTTTATAGTTAAAAATGTGATTTCTATTACAATTATTAATAATTGTATCTTAATGCCATATAAACATAATATTTAAATTATGTTTTTTTAAATAACGTAACATATAAAATCAGAATTTTGATGTTTGTTGAAGGTAAACTAAATTCACGAACAAATACTTACAATGTCGGGATAGTATTATGAGGTTTTTTTCCTGGTTTTTCCCTCATAATTTACTATGGAATCACTAACAGGAGAATTTTACTGTCATCATGTCATGTGTTTGTCTTTTTAAAGACGAATTACATGCTATGATTTTTTTCTGACGGATATTCTTAAGTTAAAGTTGATTTCATGTAATCGAATGAACTATCGTATAAAGTAAAGTCGTCCCAGGGCGCAACTCAACAATATTGGCAATATCATTTTAAAGTCGTCTACTTTAAAATGCATAATGTATGTCTGAATTGTCAATATAAATGAGTCAGATAAAATTAAATTATTAGAAGAATTTTTCACTATGTAACAAAAAACAAAATTTGTTTAATTTACTGTTTGTATTTTGAGAACGATTTCCGAAGTGGAAATTGAAACGTCAATAAACGTATTTTTATCTTTAATTGTGGCTTATTCCCAGTTTAATAGTAATTAATAATATTTAAAAGTGTTAAGTTTAATTTAAAAACTCAATTTTAAAATAATTATAAGTACTTAATTTAGAGGACTCAAAATACACGCCAATGACATCTGTCCACTGTTGGTGATGTTATGGCATATGGGTTGTCGTTGTCTCTAATGACAGTGACAGTTGTCAATTGAAGAAAAACAAAACCGATAATTTAGCTTTTACTATTTATATTTTGTATTTAAAAAATGGTCGAAGAAGCAAAAAAGTATCTCCAAGATATTTTGGGAAGAGTAAATGGCTTGCATTGTATATTAATAACAGACAGAGACGGTGTTCGTATGTTAAAGGTTTCCAATGACAAAACCCCAGAACAAGCCAACAAACCCAATTTTATATCTACGTTTGGCTTAGCAATAGATCAAGGAAGTAAGCTAGGACTAGGTAAAACCACTACATTGATCTGCACGTATTCACAGTTCCAAGTAGTCCAGATGAATAAATTGCCTTTAATAGTAACTTTCATAGCCAGTGATAGTTGCAATACAGGACATATATTAGCTCTGGAGAAACAAATTGATGGTGTAGTGGCCGATTTAGCATTAGCTGTAACTGAATCCTAAAACTAATGAAAACACAACTTTATTCTATGTTGAACTTGTGCAAGTTTTACTATATCATATATTATATAGTGTGTCTGTACTTTGTGTCAAAATTTGGTATTTCCAGTAAATAGTTTTCGATTAAAAATAAGTAATACAACTTTTATATTGAGAGTGTTCATGGTGGACTTTCATTACTATTATTTTGTTGGGATTATTTTCAGATTAAAGATGTTTTGTCCAAAGATATTTATTAATACCAGTTGGTCATTTTCTAAGCACTATCCAATAGAAGGCTGATACTAAGGCAACACAATGTAGTTATATCTCATATAAAAATAAAAAATCATTAATTGTGATTCATCAATAATTACTTATTTGTGGTTATAAACTCCCTTATTTCATTCTGATCTATAAATCATCATTCATAATGATGGTTTGGACAATGGTTGTCAAAAATTGAGTGGATGTCCTAAAATAATTCACAAACGGGGTATTAAAAGGAAAATCATTTATTAAACATAACAATAGATGGAACCATATATACATAAAAACAACTTTTCCATAAAATATTTTGAGCATTATACATTTAATCTGAAATTTACACCATATGTTTTATAAACATATTCAAGCGATATCCTTATATCCTATAATTCCAATTACATTGTAATAACACTACCTACATAATTATAATTTGGAAAATTTTTACAATTAAAGACCTTAGAGCAACAATGGTATATACCACAAAAGTAAGTTTTTGAGAAAATCAATTGATAAAGGTTTTAATCAAATTCTGAAATACCAAATATAGATTAGAAATTCAGTAAATTGTGTTGTTTGAAAACTGTATATCTACTATCCTTGAAACGCTAAGCTAATTTTAAAAAAGTTGTTTTTGTAGAAAAAAAAAAAAACAATAGAAATTCGAAAAAATGTGGCTTGCACCGTTATTACAAAAAAAAAATATTAATATAACAAGTTGTAAAATAGGTATCTTATCATAATATATCTATAATAAGTTATTTAGAGTACTAAACATGAAAAACACAATACATAAATTGCAATTCTATACCTAGAATTGTTTTAAAATCACTATAATTTTCATCTTCCAGATCGCTAAAGTCATCCAAATGTTCTGTCTCATTATCTATATTATCATTATCTGTTCCCATATTTTTAAGAACACCAATCTCTCTGTATTAATTCTGGTAAATAGGTGGTATATAACGAAGAAGCATCGAAATATTAGATATATTTTTTTTATATAATGGAATGGGTGCATCATATTTAATTTTTAAATATCTTACATTCAGGTTTACTGCAGTTCTAGCACCTCTCTTACCAATATTGACAGATTTAAATAATTAGTTCCAAAGATGTTTATAAAACATAACATTTGGAGTCTCGTGAGTAAATTTAAATGTGCAGATTTTACTAAAATTAAGCTTTTCTTTATTTTCTGTTTGTGTTTTTTTTGGTAATATTTTGGATCTGTAAATCCTTAAAAGACAAAATATCTTGTTGCTGTAGAACAATGACATTAAAAGGATTTTTCTTTTTTAATTTTAAGATTGCTTGATACCAATCAGTAGCAGTATACACCTGATGTAAATAACAGCGTTTATGTTTTTCAATAACTGCGAATTCAAATGGCTAGTACCGTTGTTGAACTTAAAATAGTTGATTTCAGTATAAAAGTAACAAGGATATTTATAACTCGTAGAGTCATCTATGAAGCAAAAGCTGTAGTTTTTATTTTGTAGGTAGATAGGAACCTAATCATTTGGATATAACTCATTTTTAGTAAGATTGTGGCTTGTACCTTTGTTGCTTTAAGGTCTTCGATTGTCAAAACTGAAACTACAATTTGTATGAATTCTGAATGGTTCTGAAGATGAGTGAGTGAAATATACACTTACTAAGTTCGGGGTATATGTGTGTTTATAAATACAACTCTTATAAAAATAATTGTTTATTAATAATAATAATGTATATAAAAATGTATTTCACTTATACAGTAATATATTTTGTAACATTTTATTGTTTCTAATTATTCTCTTACCAGTATTATAGGAAAGTTGTTTGTAACCAAATGATCACCTTGGAAAACAATCACCAGATTAATTTCAAATTCTGAAAAATAAATATCTCAGTCAGTTTTTCTTACATATACATATAGTAATTGCCAACTAGTGAGAACCAACACTATGTATGCATTATATTCTTAATAAAGTTTGTGCTGTAATTGATGTTAGTTCTGTTCATATGATGGTATGAAAATGGGAATGTGCACTGGTTATTCGTAGCTGGCGAGCAATATACAGTTAAGTAGTACTTTATTGAACACAGAAAGAAAATAAAGTATGTAGAAGATTTATAAATACTTGTAACAAAACTAAATCCACCAATATGAATTGACTATTTAGCTCAAACTAAGATAAGAGCAAGATTTCAAATGAGATAAACAAAAAAATGACAAAAATGTGGGAAAGTATGGTCAGGCTGATAATAATAAGTCTGAAAAATTAAGTAGGAGATCAGATGTAATGAAAAGTAAATAGTGAACAGAAACAAAAGAACATTAATTCAAATGACTAGTGACAAACAGAAATTTTATGAGGAAGTCAACCAGAATATAATGCAATTCAAGTCTAGATTATTAATCATCATGGATAGGGTAATTGGTGAACAGGAGCAAATAAGTACTTTATAGTCAGAATCCTATTTTTTTATCATATCATATCATATGTCATAGGCAAGGTATATCATTAAACATGGTTATGAACAAAACAATACCAATCTGGATATTTGGCAACTTTAATGTAGACATGATCCAAGAGAATTTACCTCAAAAATTAAGTCAAACAATCACTTCCAATAGTTTTACAATATTGAATAAAACTGTTCTTATAAGAACAACATGCTACTCAGCTTCTTGTATTGATTATATAGTGACCAACACCTTAAATTATCATGTTAACTTTATATAGTGAATAAGGGCTTAGGGATCACCAAATTCAGTTATTAAAATTGGCAAACTCATCACCTAAGTATACCAAGAAATATTATACAGTAATAAAATAAACAGAGAGCAGTTTTGAAGTCAAATAAACACTCTGGGAAATCAAATGTGGAGTAACCCAATTCCTTGTGTGATGAAATCATAAGAATTTACTTAAATAACCTTAGTACAAAAACAATAAAAACCGTTTTTAACAAAAGACTGCACTTTAGTTTAATATTACATTACATAACCTTATTTTAAAATGAGGTTTCCACTATAAAAGGCATAAACAGAAGTTACTGCAGGATACCTATAAATCTGCACAAAAAGATTTAATTGATGCAGTAGCTAAAGCAAAAAAAAGATGATTTATTTTTCAAATAAATTATCAGAGGTACAAAACAACAGCATAAAATATGGTTAACATTAAATCATATTATCCATAACTCAAAAAAAAACAGTAACAATTCATGAGTTATAATATCATAATTATACATTTAATAGAGCTGAGGACGTATCTATTATCTAATCAATTAAGTCATTACTATGCACATATAGAAAAATCTCTAGCAAATAAAAATAACATACCACCTTCAGGAAAATACATATTCGAATGGCAACAAGTCTCAGAAAACCATGTTAGAGAGATCATAAGAAAATTTTAAAAAAGGAAAATCACCAGGATGCGATGGCTTTAGTGTGATATTATTAGAGAGTTTGCAGAGGAGCTGCTACCGATTTTATAAAGGAAGGGACTGGAAGAAGTATTCTGGAAGTTATCAGCCAATATCTCTTTTAACAGACATGTCAAAAATCTTGGAATCATGTGTAAATAAGCAAATTGTACAATTTTTTGATTTATCCAGACATGATTCAAGTACAGCCTCAGCTTGTATTGACTTAATTACAGACATCTATAACAAATTAGACAAAGGGTTAAGTTGTGTATTTGTATTATTGGATTTGCAAAAAGCTTGACCATGACATTCTTATTTTAGTGTTTGAACAATATAGGATAACTGGAATGGCTTTAGTTTGGTTAAGAGACTATTTGAGTAGCAGAATACAAAAGTGCTTCGTAACAATGTGCGAAGTGCAGCACAATATATAACATGTGAAGTTTTATAAGGGTCTATATTAGGACCAACACTTTTCCTGATCTATATGAATTTAATATCCAATTTACCGCTTCAGTCCATGTTGTATCTGTATGCTGATGACACTGGTCTTCTGTGTGCCAATAAAGATCCCAGAAAATTAGAAATTGTTGTAGAAAAAGACTTAATAGAAATAGATGAGTGGCTTAAGTATCACAAACTGTCACTTAATATGAATAAGTGCAGTTATATAAATCAAATGTAGATGCACATAGGGAGATGCAGTTGAACTTTGGAAAATTCAAATTTAATAAAAATGAGATGATCAAGTATCTTGGATTGTATATAGCTAAACGACTTACTTGGGAACAACATATATTACACGTATGTCGTAAAATAGCTCCAGCAGTAGGCATACTAGGAAGAATTGCTAAATTTATAAGTCTTAGATCCTCGAGAAAACATTAGAATTTAACATTGAAACTTATCACTATCATCTATTCGTCGACTTCAAGGTCGCACACGACAGTGTCAAGAAAACAGTATTATACCAATCAATGCGTGAGTTTGCTATACCAGAAAAACTTATCCGATTAACGAGAATGACAATGTCTAACTTAAAAGCCAACGTTAAGATGCAGGGAGAAAATTCTCGATTCTTTGAGATAAAGGATGGACTCTGACAAGGGGATGCCTTGGTTTGCCTCCTATTTAACATTGCCTTGGAAAAGGCAGTCCGAGGCACACATATGAAGAAGTTAAAAGACGAATAAACCTTACAAATAGGGCATACTATTGCTCTATATCTAAAAACAATTCCACTCAAGAAATATCCAAAAACCAAAATTATTATATAAAACACTGCTGAGGCCGGTACTCACATACGGGGTGGAAATATGGACTCTAAGTTAGAAGAATGAAAGACTTCTGGAAATATTCGAGCGTAATATACTCCGCAAAATATTTGGAGCTATAAACGATAAAGGGCAGTGGCGCAAACGATTTAATTTCGAATTATCCCATTTAATTTCGATATCTTTAATGAACCAGATATCGTAACGTTCATTAAAACACAGCGGCTTAGATGGGCCGGACAATTGATACGAATGCCTGCCAACATGATTGCCAAAAAGCTAAAGAAAGAAACACCTATAGGAAGAAGAAGCAGAAGCCGACCTCGAATTAGGTAGTTAGATGGAGTTGAGACCGATTTAGGGATACCAGAGATCAGAAGATGGTAACACGTTGCCAGAAACCGAAGAGAATGGCGACTGATCTTAGACTATGTCAGGATCCACAGAGGATTGTCGGGCCAAAGATGATGATGATGAAGATGACCCATTCATCCGCATAGAACAAGTCTTTTTTTTATTTTTTTTTTCGGTTTTTTTGTATTTGTTACACTGTTGAACTGAGGCATTAAAATGTATCGATGTTTCGCTAACTATCAAAAGGCATTTGATAAAATATAGGACTGCAACTGTATACCAATGTATATACACAAAATGTTGACAGGTTAACAACAGTCACTACTTCTTTTCATATCATATCTTCTTTTTATATAAACATTTTTGGGGCCAACGTTCGTCAGGCATTCTCAATAGATGTCTAAACATGAAAAACTAAAAAACATGAAAATTAGATAGATAGGTATTAGATGTTTTAGTGTAGTGTTTTGTACAATTTTATGTTAAAATTAATGTTTATCACATTCTACGCTTGCTGGATAGCCATAACTTGACGAAATGCCCCTGAAGATGCTGTTTTAAGCGAAAGTACTTGGGCAAGATTTAATTGTTAAAATTGTGCTCGATATTTGCCTTTCATTTTCAAAGTTTAATTAATTTATCGATGTCCACAGCTTCCATAATATATACAAAATTTGGCAAACACTCACAAAAGTAACCAACGCTTCAAAACAGTCACAGGTCTGTGTTGAAGCTCGAGATATCCCTTACTGTTTAATTTATATATTGAGGCAGTCCTCCAAAATTGGAAAAACTACTGCCATGCAATGGGAATCTCCATAGGAAATGACGTACTGATTTCCCTGAACTTTGCGGATCACCAAGTCGTCCTAGCTCAAGATTCTTATGATCTAAAATTTATGATAAAGCAGAGAGAATATGTAACTTTACAAAGAATATGTAAAATGGGGATTACAAGTGAGCATGAAGAAAACAGAATATTTAGTTATCACAGATATAAACAAACAATATTAAGACTTTAACTAAATGAAACAGATAATCAACTAAGGTTAAGAACGATATGTAGGTACGGAAGTATTAAAAAGACCGGTAGTTTGCACTGATAGTAGCATAATAGTCTCTATACTCCATTCGCTTAGCTGGGGCATATTTTGACAGATTTATTGTCGGAAACCTACAACCCAACAATTCCTACTTCTCAGTATTAATAGCTGAAGTATACTACTATTGCAGACTTCTTTCTTTGTCATCAAATTTTGGGTAGTATTTATTTAAAAAATATATTTTACTTGTAATAATTTAACATAACTATTTATTATATGGTGCAGATAAATAAATATTGATTGTCGGTAATTAGCAAAGTTCTATATTATTTACTATTTAGTTTGTTTACTATTAATATTGGCTATGAATACCTGTGTTTGGTTGTACAGTAATTTCCAGCCACTTTTAGTCTGTCAAAAAGTAACTAACTTCACAAAAAAATATGCTAAATTCACTAGACAGTTCGGACTGGGAATAGCGAACCGAGTATACCATAATTTTTTTATAAAAAATATTGTCTAGAACTTAAATTGCAAATACAAAGGAAGATTAGACAGTAGTACTTTAAAAAATGATTCTGTTAACTTACCTACTTTAAAATTGGTAGTAATTAGTGTGGGACAAGTAAACAATCTTGGAAATACCATATATATCGGTATTGGAATATGATGCGGAACATCTCCATCTCCAATTTGAATATTCTGAATTTCAGTGGCTAAAAATATATAATTTTTCTCTTTTTATTCATCACAGGAAAATTTTATTAATATGTGTAAATATTGCACTTGCACAATTTTGATGACAAAATATGAAGATTGTACCCAAACTACTTTTCTCCTTTATGTGGTAAAGTTTAGTTTATTTAAATACTTAAAAACAACTTTTTAGAAAAGCAGATAAAAATATTTCTTGAGAAACCCAACATTTCTCGTACCATATGCGCACGCGATGAAGCACGTGAAGCTTTATCTACATCTATATTCTACGATTTTAAAAACGATTGTTCTTGGATTGATATATTGCCTGAAAGATAATGTGGTGGTAATTATTAGTACTGCATCAACTTTTGATTAACGCACAAATTCTCCAGCTCGTTTAAAAATGCAGTTGTCCACACCTAACATTTAACGGTGGGAAAAATCTTTTTTGAACATCTAACGCCACGGACACCCTGGTATCTTTTGACCGAGTAGGACACTAGGCCAGAAGATCAAAGGGTAGTGCCGGATTAACTGAGTTCCAGCTAAAACCTCCGTTCCAGAGAAGTCGTCTTGTCACTCAATGAACAACTAAACTAAAAAACTAAAAACTTACAAATAACCATAACTATTACCGCAAATCTGAAAGTATTTTCGTTAGACCATAAACTAATTAATAATAATAAATATAAATTTCAGATCCCTGGTTCAATTTCCTCCTCTGTCATCCTACTCCTTCTTCTTCATCACCCCAGAAATTAGACAGTGTACTTCTCTCCATTCTTTCTGTCCTCTCAACATTATCTTTACCACGTTTCTTTCACCCAGCCCGAAACCCATTCGCCTCTCGAAATCTCCCTTATTATTTGCCCATCTATGGGAGTTAAAAATGTGGGCGGGAGCGTCCGGTACCCAACAAACAGTACAGTCTGCCGAGACAGATTTGCTTATTCTATTTGTAAAGGTGCCAAAACTACCATGTCCGGTCAGAAACTGCGTCAGCAAGTAGTCTAGTTTCTACATGATGGACCTGGTATCTGACCTGGATCAGATCGGGAATAAGCTCCTTCGTCCACCTTGCCTTTCCGCTATCATTCGCCCATTCTCTGCCACTGCACTATCGTTCTTTCTCTCTCATTCTCTTCTATATTTCCATCCATCCTCCTCACACACACCCTCGCTCGCTCTTTGCACAACAAAACGATCGGTATCACCGCTCCAATGACATATAGAGCCTCATTTGAAACCGTCCTGTATGATATGCTAGATACCCTCAGGGGCATTCGCCTTTGCTAAGTCTCCATCAGCTTAGCGTATTCCTCAGTGGTGTTCAGTACGCTATACCACGGGGGTATCGTAGGTTATTACCGACTTCTTCTTCTTCTTGCAGTACCGTCTCTATCCGAGGTTGGCTACCATCACAGCAATCTTTACTTTGTTGGATGGAGCTCTGAACAACTGTATTGAACTGCACCCATATCACTCCCTTAAATTTCGCAACCAGGAAATCCTCCTACATCCCACATTTCTCTTTCCCGAGATTTTTCCTTGGATTATGAGTCTAAGCAGAGAGTACTTTTCTCCTCTCATTATGTGGGCCAGATATTCCAGTTTTTTCGTTTGTATGGTTTTTATGACTTCGCATTTCTTCCCCATCTTAAGCAGAACATCTTGATTTCTTACTCTTCCTGTCCATGGTATTTTCCACATTCTCCTGTAACACCAAATTATTACCGACTGGAAAACTCCATTTAGCACCATTCTCTTGGTGCTATCTTTGCCTCCAACGTTTGGCATCAACTGTATTAATGCCTCCAGATTTCGGTTCGCCTTCTCTATCGTCTATGTGTACTTCGAACCTCAGTCCTTCCGACAACCAGGCTCCGAGATACTTAATCGATTTAAACGTGCAACCTCTACATTTCCACTATAAAGCGAAGAGAAGATTTGTCCCGGCTCCCTTTGAGAACTAACACCTCAGTATTCTGAGGCGTAGACGTAGATCGTTCTCTCTGATTCACCTACTATAGTGTATTTTTATGTATGAGAGAGTAATAAAACAATAAATTATGTATGCAAATCCCTAAACTGTTGATACGGGTGACTCAATGAAAAACAGATATTTGTCAACAAGTTTACAGAAGTATATAGGAAAACAATTTTAAATTGAGTATGACCACCAGGTATAAAGGTTGGAGCAGAAGAGAATACAATAGTTGCGAGGGTTACTAATCCCTAAATAAAGTTGCCAGTGTCTGAGTGATGGAGGTTAACAGGTACTAATGAATTTGCAAGAAATGTAAGATGTTTATTTTATTGGTTATATATAACCAATAAAAGTTTAATAAGTACCTACCTATTTGCAAAATAAAGTTTAATTCTTTAGATAAAATAAAACGTTTTATTTTATCTGAAATGAGTGCATTCCTCGAAGTAAGGGTTTCAACAATCAAACATTTAATTCTTTAATTCCAGGAATCTACGACAGTAATTGACTAGATAATTACCTTCTAAACTTATTCCACAGAAAATGTGATAGTGGGTTTTTCCATTTTGTAGGAAGGTCCAAGTGGCGTATTCAAAATTCTTAACAGTTCACTAAAAGTAGGTACTTCAGTTGCAAGGTGCAGTTTATTGTGTATACTAGTGTTATGGAAAATTTGGAAGTGCCGTGTAAACGCCGAAAAATTGGTCCTCTAACAGTTAATGAAAAAACATTAATATTTAATTGTTTTAAATCATTTACAGAACGTTTATGTGGAAGTGTTGATGAGACCGTTGAGTTAGTTAGCAGTACACTTGGTGTTGGGAAATCTACGATTTACAGAGTTAATAAAGAAGAGAAATGTGGTAGTTTTCAAATGCCACGTAATGCTCCAGGGAAACCAAAATTTCAAATAGAATATCATTTTAAAGAAGGACTTCGACGGAAAGTGCATGAATTCTTCTTTAGACAAGAATTTCCAACATTGGATAAAGTTCTTGTCTCAGTTCGAGATGATAAGGATTACCCAGAAATGAGTCGAAGTACGTTATGGAAACTTTTAAAAGAAATAGGCTTCCGCTGGAAAAAGAATCCCAGAAAGTCTATTTTATTAGAAAGAAGCGATATTGTCATATGGAGAAGACATTTTCTAAGAACCATAAAGGAAATGAGAAACCAAAAAAGAAAAATATTTTATCTTGATGAAACATGGATCAACGAGGGTCATACACCAAATAAATTTTGGCAGGATGAAACTGTTACAAGTCAAAGGCACGCTTTTGTAAATAACTTATCTACTGGTTTAAACCCACCATCAGGAAAGGGACGCAGGCTGATAATAGTACACATTGGCAGTTCAGACGGTTTTGTTGAAGGTGGTTTATTAACTTTTGAATCAACTCGTACCGGTGACTACCATGAAGACATGAACGCTGATGTCTTTCAAGAATGGTTCGAACAAATGATAGATCTTCTTCCTAAGAACTGTGTAATAGTAATGGATAATGCAAGTTATCACTCCAGACTTATAGAAGGACTGCCCACAACCAAGTGGTTAAAAAAAGACTTGCAGAATTGGCTGAATTCAAAAAATATTACGTACCATCCCGGATCTATAAGAAAGGAACTTTATTCGTTGTGTGCCCTTCATAAAGAAAAATTTAAAAAATACGAAATTGATGAAATTGTCAAAAATCGTGGAATGACAGTACTTAGATCCCCACCATATCATTGTGAATTAAACCCGATTGAACTGGTATGGGCACAGATAAAGAGTGAAGTTTCAAGAAAAAATACCACTTTTAAAATTCATGATGTTAAACAGTTGTTTTTGGAGGCCGTAAATAATGTAAAACCTGAAAACTGGGAAAAGGCAGTAAATCACACTATTAAAGAAGAGGAAAAAATGTGGAAGCTGGACAATATTACTGATAAAATGATCGAGCCAGTTATTATAAATCTTGGTTCTGAAAGTTCATCTTCTGAATCTGATTTGGATTTGTAACAAGTAGCTGTAAGTTTTATATTAATATTTTTATTCATCTATTTAACATACCTTAGACGGTTTTAAAAACTCTTTTTCTCTTTTGTAATTTTTAAAAATTAAAAAAAAATGTGAATTTTTTAAAACTCTTTTTAATGTAGGCCAGTCAGTTCTAATATAGTGTGTGATAAAAGAGTTCACTTTTGTTTACATACACATAACACTTTATAACACTGAAATAATTCATTTATTTTTTACAATTATTATTCAAAGTAATTTTTCAATTAATCTTGAGCACGCCCATGGAGTGATCGAAGGTACCAGTTAAGATTGTGCTAATTACTCTCTCGTTCATAAAAATAAACTATAATACGACGCAGGGCTGTGTTAGCCGCGAAAAAAAAATTACTCGAAGCGATTCGGGAAATTGTTTTTTTGGTATAAGTTATTTGCAGTTATAAGAAATAACAATTTCCAGCCCATTTTGAAAAATAAAAAAAATACATTTGAACTTAAAAAAATATATACAGGGTGGTCCTTAAGTAATTGTACAAAAAGAAACCGTAGATTCTACACTTATAAAGTTTAATGTAATATAAAAAATAAATGTTTGATGTAAAATCCAATCATTATGTTATTTTATCAAATCCTATATATATTTATTTTATTTAATATTTCGTTAACTATTAACATTATTAAGGGAATTCTATACCAAAATTCATAAATATTGATGTTTTTGTCTAATCTTCTTTCGTTGTCTGGAGTAATTGCGTTAAATCTGAATTATGTAGTTGATTTGTAAAATGCGATTATCTCGAAAACTGTTGAGTTTTGAAGTTATTAACAAGTATACATTTTTTTGTTAAAATAATGTATCTTTAATATTTTTTATCGCAAACACCGGTAACTTAAAGAGCAAAAAAGTTAAGTGCAAATGTATGCCACATATGTGGCGCCCTCTATCAGCTACATTAAATTATGCACCAAATTATAATTCCTAATATTTAATAGTACCCAGTTATGAATTTTAATGCATAAATGTTCACAAACATGAAAGTTATAGCGAAAATTAAAATTTTAAATTTCCACTTTAACACCCTGTATCTTTCTTAATATCAACATTTTATTAGTACAATTTGGCTTAAATCGTAATATTTTATAGTGTAGAATCTACGGTTTCTTTTTGTATAATTACTTAAGGACCACCCTGTATAATCGAATAAAAAAATGTTTGGTACAGTAAAAATGCAAAAACAATTTAGTCAGTTTATGGTCTGCTTAAATATATATCTTCATCTATGAACTGTGGGTATTTTTAAAAGCTACCAACAAAAATAATCATATGAAACTTAACGTTTTATTGTTTTATCCATATGGATTTCAATGTAAATATCGGTTTTTACTTTTGAAGATAAAGCATATGCATTTTTGGCATATTTAGTTCAGCTAACAAATTATACTTATTTTCATTTTTAGTGCGGCTATATGATGTATTGCATCCTGATATAGCATGTTAGGGCGATTGGAGTATTTTCTATGCATGTCTTTGGGTACTGGAACATTATTTTTCAAGTGCTTTGAAATAAGTTCTATCCTTCTCTTACTAACGCCATATAATAAACAAAAAGTATTTCTAGAAACCCTGTTTAAAGTTGAGCTGACTTTTATATCATATTCAGAGAAACAAGAATGTTTTAGTTCTCTACCTGATTTAGGCCAAGATCTAGCAACTTTTCCCATACTTAACTATTTGTTCTAAAAGTACATCATGTTTCTCTTTGTTACCAATGTTATTAAAGTTGTCAAAATATCTTTCTTTTCAGTGTCATTTATTTTTTCAAAACATTTGCAGTTTTAGTTTTTCCCGGTTTTTGTTTCGCTTTTCAGGCATTTATTTTTGTTTTTAATAAATTATAAATAAAAGATTTACCTTCAGCTGTTCTTTTCTGAGCAATATTTCTTGTCCATTTACTTTTATATCTTGTTCCCTTTTTGTGAACTATTTGTTTGTGTTCACTGTCATAACTTTCAGAATCACTTTGAAACACTGATTAAATTCAATACTATTAAACAGAGAAATGCTTCCAGAGTCAACGGGAGAAAAATCAGGATATCAATCCAAATCGTAAAATGTTTTGCTTAGATTATTGCTACCTGACATTTTACAACTAGTATATAACTCAGCAAACTATAGATTTCACAATATCCACCTAGAATAAAAACATGAACTGAAGATGTTTAATAACGTACTAAATAAGTAAATGCGTGCTTAATGACTGTGTGACATATTCCATTCTTTTGCACATGCTAAATTGAAAAAGGTAAAATACGAATTAATTCCGTGCAAAATGGAGGCAGCTCCTTAGCTGTCCATTTTTTCAACGAATCAAATAACGAAGTAACCGTCTATTAATTGCGTTTCCCTTATGGGTAAGTGAAGCTTCCTCATTTTAGCAGCACCAGTCAATAGAGAGAGCCTTTCAATTGTATTACATATATCAATTAAAAACAAAAAGTGGTAAAAATATGGATCTGTCTGCTTTTCGTTCTGGTGTCTTTAATTAAAGTTATAACAACAATCCTTTATACCTTCTCTTGCATATCCCTCTGCACAGCCACAAGTTTCAACTCGAACCAATTGTAGTTCTATAGATCTCACTGGTACATCACATTTAGCTAGCACTATTTTTCCTCTTAAGGGTTTGGCAATGTTACAACATACAGTTTCAACATGACCTTTCAATAAAAAGTTTGGAACTCCTGGAATAAAAAATATGATATAAGTACTTAATTAAGAAATATAAATTCACAAATATAATGTGTTTCTTTCACTTTAACACTAAAAATAAATGGGCAAAACAGAATAATAAATGGATATGCATATGTGAGATAGAAAAAATCTAATGGTAAATTCTATCAGATGGCAGCAAAACCAATTAAGATGTATGGCATTACATTTTGGATGAACTTTACATTTTTAAACAATGACTTGGTACACATTCATCTCCTTTTCTATATACGAAACTGCATATTGGACTTATTTAAGAAAATAATCAGATTTAATCAATATAAAGAAGGACTTTTTGCAAAACCATACATTCTAAGGTCCATCAATACAATAAAGCCAGAGATTTGGTGGAAAAGAACGGGTTTTAAAACAAAACTAAGTAAATTAACAGTTCAAATTTTACTACTTTACTACATATGGTTTCATCTTCTTCTTATCGTGGCATCTCCTTTCGAAGTTTGGCAATCCAAATGGCAATTATATATATGGAAACTGATGCACGATGAAATATTTCTGTGGATGAGCAGTCAAACTATCTCTTCAACCACAAGTTCTTAGGTCTTTCTACTGATCTTTTGCCCTGTACTTCATCTGGGTGAACTGGTAAAGTTACTTTTATAGTTCATAATTTAAAGCATCCTGCCAGTCTATTTGCTGTTTGTCTTACTTTTTTATCCAGGTCTTCATAGCTGGAGAGTATTATTCCAAGGTATTTTTTCCATCCTATTTGTTCAATACTGATGCCCTTAATTTCTATTTTACATCTGATTGGTTATTTCCAGATTACTATTGTTTTATTGTGTTGTCTTATTTTTACTTCTTTGTTTCCTATTCTGTATCCTCTTCCATTGTTCACACTTTTAATGAATTCATCCATGATCAAATTAAAGAGCTTAGGACTCAACCTGTCTTATTCTGCTGCCTTAAGTTCTGTTAGTTGTCTCTCTCTTCTGACTTCCATTTTGTTGTTTTGTATATATATTTTTGTTTATATATGTTATATTTTTTGTTTACACCACACACACCTATTCTCCGATATGAGTATCAAACCAACACAAAATCTAAGATTTTATTAAATATTAACTAAAAAGAAATATAATCATTTATGTTATACTTGGACCACTTGCACATGATCGTGGTCCTGGCGCAATAGTTTTAATAACACAACACTTTATGGTAAATCCGACCTATTAACACTGAGATGGAGTAAAACATTTATAACTTTAGTGTATGACCAATAATGACATGCATCAGAAACAAGACTCAACACAGTTACAACACAAATACTGAAAACTTGTGTAGATGCTAGACTGAGAAGAATTACAGGAAATATGGTAAGAGATTAAAAGGGGAGTGATCACAGAAGAAAATGTATATGTATGTGTTATAGCATGCAATGTAACATACAGTCATATGTATATGTGTAAGTTTTTGAAAGTATTTCATATGATCAAATCAAATAACCCTTGAATTGTATAATAAAGATTAATCAAAATGGCGTCTCAGTTGGAAAATCAACTACTACAAATGTCCTCTTATTTTTTCAGTTTGTGTTTCAAGCTCTTGAGAATAGACACGTTAATGCTATGTATACCAATTTCTTCAAATCATTCAACAAAGTTATCTAAACGATTCTGGTCAAAAAAACGAAATCAATTTGGTTTTAAACTTGAGTGTAAAAAAAAATGAGTCATAAATCCAGGGATGGATGATTCTTGTTGATTTATTATATAAATACCTGCTCTAGCATTGGTCAATGTAGCAGGACTCAACTCAAAATTCAAAGGCGTTCTTTTATCTGTAAGAGGCAATTGAGGGCAAGCATTGTATCCTGGTTTGTACTGCACTAAAAATTGTTGAGTTTTTTGTAAATCTTTTGACAAAAACGATCTCTTAATATCACATTTTAAACTGTAGCCTATATTTACGTAAACTCCATGATATGTTTCATACAGAGTTCTGTTGGGTTTTGGCTTTACTGGAATCTCAAAAGGTATTTCTATGGTACCAGAGGGTAGACGTCCTGGACCACATACTTCACATGTTGTTCCTACTAGTTGAATTGGCTGAAAATAAAAAAAACAGCAGTTACTGTTTAATGTAAAATTAATCATTTCTTTAGTACCTTTACAGAATTATAAAAAGCTTCAATAATTCCTACATTTTTTGAGCTGATCTGTAGATTGACACATCCTTCCATTGTTAAAGTTATCCCTTCATGTTTAAAATCAGAATTTGTTGATAACAATATAACTCCAGCAATATTTTCCTGAAAAGCAGATTATTAAACATAGAGCATTAAAAAAACTAAATAGTATACCCCTTCATAATATATTTTATCGGCTCTTTTTAAGTTAATCTCTAGATTTATTGACATTTTGAGATTGTATAGAAAAAATATACAAATTCCTTTGATATTTTTTATTTCTGTATATATTTTTCAACACATAACCTAAATTTTTGACTTTTCTAAATTTAGCCAATGGAATTTTGTTCTAATGAAAAGTTACATTTTTTAAGAAGTAACATAGTAACTTCTTTAATTTTTTTTAAATCGCATGGTTTATAATGGAATAATTGAATTTTTTTATTGATATTTTAATTAATAATTTATTAATATATTAAACCTAAATTGAAACTGAATTTATCTTCAATCTTATATAAATATATGACGTCATATGATTGAACTTTATTCAAATAAATGCCTAATCGAATGCCCTGCTTATTTTACTAGAAATTCACTATTTTTAAATGGCAGCTGACAAATAAACATATGAGTGTGGTATCTTATGTACAAAACAATAATTTTAGCGTTTAATAATTTATAAATTCAGACAGTGGAGTGGCATAACTTCAATAATATTTTATCCACATGATACAATAAAACACTATGAATATAGACGATGACATAATTTTTGATGATTCGGGTAATGAAACAAGTGGAGACGATGTAGATTTTGGTATCGATGCTGATTCAGGTTGTAATAGCAAAGAATTTCAAAGCTTTGAGGAAGAATATCAATATGAAGTTCTTTCTACAGAAGAAATAGTTAAACACATGGTTGATTGCATTAAGGAAGTTAATGTAGTAGTTCAAGTACCTGCCACAGTTACTAGAATTCTTTTAAATTATTTCAATTGGGATAAGGAGAAGCTTATGGAAAAGTTCTTTGATGGTAATCAAGATGAACTGTTTAAGGTAATATTTATTTTAAATTACTTTCTAACAACAGCCTATGACCTAAACTTGACATTTGTTACATAAACTGAAGCAATAGAAATGCAATAGGCTTCTTTGAATTATGGTTATATTTGACTTGCTTGCACATTCCTAGAGTTGGATTCCATACGTCCAGATAGGTTTTATGATAGCTTTGTAGATAAGGATTTTATTTTCTAGGGTCAGTTTCGATTTCCTACCAACTAGCCAGTTTAGATCATGCATTCTTAGGTCAATCTGTGTCTGCTTCCCAAGAATATGTTCTTTCTAATTGTATTGTAAGTGTAAGTCAAGATGTATTCCTAGGTATTTGGTGCTAGAGGATTGAGGAAGTTGGATATTGTTAACTGAAACTTGAGGACACTGGTCTCTTCTCAAGGTAAAACTCACTTGGATTGATTTTGTTTCATTAATTTTAATTCTCCACTTGTTTGACCACATCTTCATTTCATTCAGTTATACCTGTAGGATGTTAGATGCTGCAGTTGGATATTTGTCGCCTACAATGATGACAGCATCATCTGCAAACATACCAGTGATTGCTTTATTATTGGAGGGTAGATCTGCTGTTTATAGCACATATAATATTGGTCCAAGAACACTGCTCTGTGGGACACCAGATTTTATAGGAAAATTATTGGTATTACTTTCATCCACTCTTGTTAGGAATTCTCTCCCACTTAGATAGAATTTTAACAGTTTCAGGTAGGTAATGGGAAGGTATTCCTTAATTTTGAAAATCGGGCCTGTGTGCCAAACCTGGTCAAAGGCTTGACTAACATCTAGAAAGGCAGCTGTGCAGTACTGTTTGCTTTCCATTGCAGAATTCATGGAGTGCACTATTTTATGAACTTGCTGTATCATTGAGTATTCTTTTTAAAAGCCAAATTGGTGGTTGGGTATTAATTTCTCCATGTTATGGTCTCACTAAATTTTTTGTAATAGTAACCTTTCAAGTATTTTGGAATGCGATTGGTAGTAAACTTATTGGCCTATATGATGAAACCTCAATTGAATTCTTTTCTTACTTTTGGAATTAGTATTATTTCAGCTGTTTTAAAGAGCTTTGGCCAGTAATTTGACTGTAGAATGGCATTGAAGATGAGAGTAAACAGTATGATTCCGTTATCTGGTAGTTCCTTTATCATCTTCGGTGTTATTTTGTCCGGCCCAGGAGATTTTCTAATGTTAAAATATTGAATTTATTGTTGAACTTTGTTTTTGGTTAGTGGTCTGAATGTTGGTATGTTCACTGGAATGTTATTTATATATCTTTCAATTTCAATGTCTGGAGCTTCATTGTTGGGAGTAAATATTTGAGCTAGGTGTTTGGCAAATAGCATTGTTTTTACTCATCACTTTTGGCCTACTGTAGTGGTGGTCCCTGTTGGTTTCTAATTGGAGGTATTGAAGTTTTAGGTTTTTTACATATTTATCAATTAAGTAAGTTAAGTAAGCCAGTTAAGATTTGTTATGTAGTTTTTAAATGACAGTTCTTGTGCTTCTTCAGCTACCAAGCTACCAACTTTTTTTATTTCAGCTAGGATGTATTGGGCTATGCTACCTGTATTGTTTGCAGATGTGGCATTTTGTACAGCCTCTATGAGAATGTTGTTTAAGGCTGTTAGTGTTTTATTTATCTCCCTTGTTTTTTTGAGGCTTACTTGTAGACAGATATCTTCTAACTTTCTACAGTGTTTGTTCCAGTTGGTTTTCCCAGTGTCCAGCCTTAGTGCGGCTGTTTTGTAGACTATGAAGCTGCTAATGGTTGCTATAATTGGGGAGTGGTTGGATTAAAGGTCATAGCTCAGCATGACTTCTATATAAGGAGGAGAAATGCCCTGAGTCATAAATAGATCCAGCAGATCAGGTGTTTTGTTTGGATCCGTTGGCCAGTATGTAGAGAGCTTGTTGACAAAGAGTGGTAGTTATTTTCATGTATTAGGCTTACTAGTTCTCTGCCTTTAGTTGTTGTGAGACAAGATCCAAATAATACATGTAATTAGACAGTAGACTGCTGCAACTGTTGGAAAGTAAGAACTCATAGAGCATTGATGAATAGTTTGTGTAGTGAGGTATCTTGAAGTAAGTTTTAACTTTGAAATGGCTTTCACTGATTAAAATAATGTCAATTTTGTTGTGTAGTAGAAATAACTCAACCTTATATTTGTGCTGTGGAAATCCATTGGCATTCTACTCTGCTATTTTAATGAAGCTATTGAAATTTTAATATAAGCATTGTCAGCAAGTTTAGGACCTTGGTGTTTTGTTGCACTATTTGTTGGAATATATTTTTGAATTCATCTAGGAATTTGTTCATTATATCATATTTTTAGATTGTTTTGTCATTCTACTTACACAATTCATCGCATTTCTGACTTAATGTCCATTTTTGGCTAATTCAGTTTTTATTTCACTGATGTCTGTCATATGACGTAGATGTTTGATGACTATTCTGTAGTCATGCTCTTCTAGGTTTTTATGTGTGGTGTACTACATTTTTGTCCCTCCTGTATTTTATTATTTTCTTATATTAGTCTAGTGTATCACAATTTATCATTACCATGTTGTCTGGATTTTGGACCAAGGATTTTGTGATGTATTGTGTGTTTTCTGCTATTAGATCTATTTGTTTTACCATTTTATCATATTTAAGTACTCCATAGACATATATCGGAGGTGATTTTGGAGTTTTATTTACATTTTCGTTAGTTTTAGGGATTTCTTCTCCATATGGTCTAGGTGTGTTAGAGAACTAAATTTGTTATTTATTACTGTCTCTGATGATATATTGGTTACATTCACTTTTCTTCTTTTTAAGGTTTTTTTGAATTCTTGTCAAGAATTTTCTTTATTTTGCTTGCTCTCATCGAATCCTGTGAATTCTTCATCGCTACTTGATGCTGCATACTGTGTGGGAATTAGTTGAGTTCCGATACACTGTGGTTGTATTATTTGCTGACTGTTTTCATATAATACTTGTTGGGTGTTGCAAGTTGGGACAGCCTGTCTAGTAATTCCGTTAGTTTTTCTAGTAATTCCAATGTTTGTTAACATTGGTTGGTTACAATTAAGTCCTATGCCACTAAAATCAGGTAATGGATTTATTTTTATCAAGTTAGTCAATTAGTTGACCACTTTTTATTATTACATTGATAAGCTAATTTGTTTTGTTTTTGTGATTCACACTTTCACTATTGATAACAGTTAAAACAAACAGTTATAACAGATAAAAGTTGATAATTTGAAACCATATAAAATAACTGAAATCAATATTAAGTAGTATGCTGTGCATTTTACTTATGAGATCATTTACCCTTTTATTGATTTTTAGGAAGCTCATGTCATCAACCCCTTTAAAAAGGTCAATGTGGTTAAGCGTAAAATTACAAAAAATAATCTTGGTTCAGAAGAATGTGATATATGTTGTATGTTTTTCTCACCTGGCCAGATGACTGGTTTAGAGTGTGGACATAGATTTTGTTATGAGTGCTGGAATGAGTATTTAACTACGAAGATTATGGGAGAAGGTAAGATTTGAAAAGTAATAACATTTATGTATTAACATTATTTAGATAAGATGTCTGTTTTTAGTGTGTTTTCTGGTCTATCATTTTTCTGTAACTGTGACCAAAGACATTGTTTCGTTTTTCTGAAAAAAAATAGCTTTTATTTTTCCGTTCATTATCTGATAGCTTCTAAAGCTATTAAGTAATTTAATTTATTTAATATAGGTGACAACTTCATTAAACGCTACAATTTACAATATACAAAATAGTGGTTAAGTATACAGTATTTTAAGCAAAAAAAAATGTTACCTATCAATAATGTCTATGTCATCTGCATATCCGACCACTCATACAGATTTAATAAAGATGGTGCCATTCGTATTAATATGGCACTCTGGAATTATTTTTTTCTAGTGCAAGGTTTAATAAGAGACATGACAGTCCATCTCCCTGTCTCAGTCCATTTTCACATTGGAAGGGTCTTGAAAAGTCCTTTTGGATTCTGACTACACTCTCTACTCCTGTTAGTGTAATTTCCATTAGTTGAACAAGATGAAGCAGCATTTGAAATTCCACCATAGCCTGTAGAAGATTTTGTCTGTTAACTGAGTCATATGCGGCTTTGAAATCCACGAATATGTGGTGGGTGTCGACTACGAACTCAAACGTTTTCTCAAGAATCTGCCTGACTGCGAAGATTTGATCCATTGTTGATTTATTGGGTCGGAAACTGCAGTGATAGTTCCCAACTATTTGTTCAGCATAGGGGATCAATCTTCTGTACAATATGTTGGACAATACTTTATATGCCACGTTAAGTAGGATGATGCCTCTATAATTATCACACACCAGACTGGAAATCTTTGTTTATTTTAGCCTGGTTAGGTTTTAAAAAGCCTTTAGCCGCTGTATGGATAGCTTCCTTTCATTTGGTCCATTGTTCTATAATAAAATTTTCGTCGATTCTTGTCAGCTCTTCATTTAAAATTTTCCTGTAGTTATCCCTAGCATCTTGAGATTTTAGCACATCAATATTATGTTTTGTAGATTTTGTGCTCACTGAAGTAGTGGCCAGAGTCTATATTAGCACCTCTACATGCTCTTAAATCTAGTATGTCCGAGAAATGTCGACTATCAATTATTACATGGTCAATTTGGTTTTTTGCACAATGCACAATTGATAAAATGCACTTTTCAGGAGACAAAGAAACTAAATAATATTTACTGTGTGAGTATTTTTCTCCAAATTAGAAGATATACATTATGTATTGTACTTTGTTTTTAAGTATATCTTCTAATTTGGAGAAAAACACTATTCAGTTTTTTTTTGTCTCCTGAAAAGTGCATTTTTTAACATATGACATTTTGCATTAACGGCAACAATATGTCGTATCGTTTAGGATGTCGTTTGTTTTTGCTTCTTAGTCTTGAATATTCATTACTCCCTTGGCATTGTGGTATTCTTCTTTTTAGTATATAAATATTTTTTCGGTATAGTAGATATAATATTTAATAAAATATGTTCTTTTTAGGTATGGGTAAAACAATAGCATGTGCTGCGCACAATTGTCCAATTCTAGTTGATGATGAAACAGTTATGAGATTATTAAAGGACGCTAGGGTAAAATTGAAGTACCAGCATCTGATTACTAATAGTTTTGTTGAATGCAATAGACTATTAAGATGGTGTCCCAGTCCTGATTGTAATTATGCTATCAAGGTAAGTGATTTTTTAGAAAAAAACTGCTGTCATGTCTTAATATAGCTGATAAGTAAAATGCTAATTATAAATTATTTGGTTTAGTAAACTATCTTGTTGTACATGACCATTATAACTTTTCTATGTGTTAATTCTTATAGATTGAATGATTCAGCAAATACATCGACAGTCATTCTCTATCGTTAGACTCTTCACCACTGCCATTTTTTAACAGAGAAGGTCATAATGTATTTTTTCGTTTTGCTCGTCATATAACCTAATACCAGTAAAGCAAAATGCAGATTAAATGGTCTCAATTGCCAAAGATATCGATGGCGGTGCTGCCAATCTTACACACCACCTATTAAATCCTGTTTCATCTTGACTAACAGCTTTTTCCAATTCTGACTGTTTTTAAACAATAAATCACAAAATTAAAATTTTGGCAATTCAAATATTGTCAAATATCAAAAACATAAATGTGATCAAACGCAACATGTCATACACATTCTTGTCCCACGTGTGGCCTGACTTTAAGGAGTAGCCTGAAAAATGTATTATATTTTTACAAAATTTTGGAACATATTTAATTTGTAGAACAATTTAAACATTTGTTTTTAATACATATTTCAGTGCTCTACAAATAGTTTCTTATAACTTTTGATGTAAAATAATTAGGGAAGCAGGAATTCAACAATTTAGAATTTCCCATTGAATTTCGTATGGCCCGTTTGGCGATTCACCACCCGGTATATATATATATATATATATATATATATATATATATATATATATATATATATATATATATATATATATATATAATATATATAATATATATATTTGAAAAACAGTTCTTAAGAATAATAATGTAAGTGTTGACTAGATAAACTTTTAATTTTTACTTCAAGGTTTTATAAATTATTTAAATATATATTTTTTTATCTTCCACTACCTACCATTCTCTTAATTATTAATTAGTTTTTGTATACAACTAATTATTGTTCGAAAATTTTATAGAAAATGCATTGTAGAAATATTATTAAAGTAATTTAAACTTACACAAAATCATCAAGATATAAAATTATTCTTTGTTTATAACAATACAAATTTATAGAACCAATTTCTTATAAAATATATCATATTATAATTCATGTAGGTCGGTACTGTCCTGTTCTTCACCGATCATAGTGCTGCTTATCGCATTTTTCTCAAATAAATATAACTGACCTATAAGTTCTTGCTATCCTTTTTGCCTCATTTCATGTTATCTTTTTTTTATTGTTTCCTATTGTGAAAAGACGCAGTTCTGTTATTTATTACCAATACTTTTGTTACTTTTAGTAATTATATTAAAAGACTAGAATTACGCCAACTTTATTAAGCTTGCCAGGGATTAGAATTATTCTACTTCCATTTTTTTTTTGTTTAAATTGTTTTCATTTGTATTTTTATTCGTTAATGTTCGCTATTTTGTTTTGGTTTATTTTTAGTCTGGTTGGTTTTGCTATGGTTTATTATAAACGAGAAGGTTTATTCTAAATTTGGTGTTTGTTTAAAGTGATTACATTATCAGCAAACTGTAACTTCTCGAATTTGCCGAATTCATTCCACTGTATACCTGTAATGTCTTATGTATGTTTCATTATCATATTATTGCTAAATTTGTATTTATTGCGACAGCTCTCTATATTTGCGGAATTAAGATAAGAATATCGTTTATCAAGAGTGGTATCCCCAGGTTTCCGGTGTCGTCACAGTTGTTAAATTTACATAATTAAAAAGTAACTTCATTTATTATATGTATTTTTATAATAATATATACAGGTTGCGGCATTAGTGCGAGGAAGTCCATTTCCTCATTTTCCGTTAGAGATACGAAAGAAAAAAATTATTATTAAGGTAAAACTTTTAAGTAATCCTCGACACATTGTCACTCATAGTCAAACTATGATGATCACACAAATAAAGATGATCCTTTAATGTTTTTTGCTGGAATTCTTGGAAAATGTATCATCGGACCCTACTTTTTAGGGGATCTCGTAAACTGAGAAATGTATAATATACATTTTCTGAACAAGAAACTGCCGGTATTATTGGAAGCAGTACCGTTGAACATATCGACTGGTCCAACGAAGACTGTAGTAACTCATTTTTTATGTAATTGAGATAATTATAAAAATGTATTTACACTGTTACCAAAATGCATTAATGTATTAAATGGATGTTTTTATAGCATTAAGTGATACTTTTAATAATGATCTTACAAGGGTAAAACAGATTTAAGACAGAAATGGTCATAATTGACTATTGAATGAGTTACTATAGTTTTCGATGGAGATATTTTTAAAGTAATAAATACCAGAATTATTTGTTTCTTAACTTTATTTATATAAAATGCTGCATTTTGAAGAAGCTACTGATATAATTTGCAGTTTTATATTTTAATTCAATTTTCCTCATCCGACTCTTCTTCGCTCTCAACTGAATCAACTTCGAGCTCGACTTTAGGAGGTACATAACTCTTTGAATTAAGATTTTGATAAAATCCATGGTACATTGTGGATATTTTGGTACCCACAATGTACCATGTACCAGTACAATTGGTAATGGTGCATCATACAGTTTCGGTGGAAATTTGATAGTAGTGGAAGACCGTCCTCTGCATTTTCGATTTAATTTTATGTCACAACCTCTAAAACCATCATCGAATTCGTATTTAAACATTATAGAATTTTGGTGTTCATGCGAAAGTTTTATTTCTCGTATTTTGCTAACTTTTATTGATTTCTTTTCGTTGTCAAGTTTTCAATTCTCGGTATCAGTCAGTTTTTTAAAATTAAAAAAATTATCTTGGGACGTTTCCATAACATCATAAACTCTTCCTGTAGTTTTAGCTATTCTAATTAATGTAACCCACTGTTCTGGCACATATACAACTGATTGCCATTTCTTTGCATTTTCGATAACAGCATGCATACTGTCACCCTAGTTCTGAATGTGGCCTTTTTCCAGAAATCTGTGAACAATATCAATATGAAAATGAGCAGCAGCAAAAGCAAACATCGACAACACAAAACGATTCCTATTTTGTCCCCCACAGTTGTTGAGTAGAATATTATCGTTTTAACACTTTGTTGTGCCTTGAGATCTAAAAATTTCCAGAGGCAACTGGCAATTTCATTAGGACCTCTTTTAGCCACCTGCTCGTGCCATACATAGCAGTAACCCTGATTATTTCCAACATCATAAACTGTAAAGTTATATGTAGAGTATTTGCTTTTGTAGTAAAAATCACTTACGTTAGACAAAGGGGTAGCTAAAACCTTTTGAAGGTCAAAGCAAGCCACACACAAGCTCTTATCATCTAGTGCAAGCTGTTTGTCTATGTCTTTTAAGTTTCTGATAACTTCTTTGTTTTTCATATGGGACTCATATTGTTCGAGCAATTTTGCTTTTTCAGCATCACTAGCCATATTAAAAACAGAACAAACAGTACACTGGTCCTTTTTTGGTTTAAAGAACCCAATATTGAACTGTTCATTGAAAATATCTCTATACTGGCGTGACGTGGCAGCTGTAGTGATGTTATTTTTTTCGCAATGCTCGTTGTACAATCGGTACATTTTCTGGATAGTTAGCCCTTCTTCAAGGTACATCTTCATCGTATTCTTACGGGTATAATGGGAAGGTACTACAGGAAACTGATTTATGTGATTTTTTACGTTGTCTATAAGTTCTGGTGATAGTTTATGTGGTCTGTTAGTGTGCTTTCCACGTTTATCTTCCTCTAATGATCCACCATCTTTCAGTTTCCTTAATGCTGTAGTGATCCAAGTTTCTGAAACGTTAAGGGTTTCCAAAAACATAGTTTTGCAAACCCGTTGTTTTTCATTGCGAATGTAAAAGTAATATTCTCGAGAGTAATTTCTTCGAGACCGTTGTTCTGCAGTAATAGTTACTTGTTTTTTGGCAACCTGTCTCACATGACGAGCAATAAAATCCCACTTTCTCGTATGATCGTTTAACTTCCAAAATTCATTAAAAAAAGGTCTCTATCTTCTTTAGCTATTTTGGTAGCACATTTTAGTCTACATGTGTTTGTGCATGGTGCACCCATCTGTCTTCCTTTAATTTGAATACCTTTTCGATTTTCATGTTCAAGTCCCAGGTTTAGACTTGTTTTAGATTTTTCATCCGCCCACTTACTAACGTCTCTAATTCTTTTCCTACTTACTCTCTCTATATTGCCTCTGCTTCTTCTCTCTCTATTTGTGGTTGCTTCAGTTATATTCTTATTAGGTTCAATTATTACTTCAGGGATGTTTTTGTCTTCTGTCGGAATGTAATATGGGTCAGTATCAGAGTTTGCATGAAATGGTTCCTCATCGCTTTCCTTCTCAATTATTTCATTTTCATTCCTATTGGCTTCATTCTCTTCTAAGCTTACTAAAATTAAACAAAAATGAGGTAAATGCCTACGTAATATTTTTTCATGCGGAATTTAAACCAACCTGTAGAACATTCAGGATTAATATCAGTCTCGTGGTCACCAGGATCCTCATTCGCCTTTTTGTATTTGCTTTCTTCTACAATACTTTCAGCAATATGTTTACCTTAAAAAATAAGTAGGTTTTTACTTTGCTGTTATTATTTTAAATAAAGTTTATTATAAATTTACCTTCAAAAAAACGATAAGAAATATCCGTTTCAGTGTTTTTATACGCTTTCTCAGCTAATTCCAATATTAACTCACTTCTGGAACACATGGCAATTATAACAAAACTAAACTTTTGAACATAACCTAAAACTAACGCAGAATACCGTAGTAACTCATGTTACGATACCTATGCTATCTATCGCCTCAGATAACAACGAAACTATTGTAACTCAATATACGATGATTTTCTACGGTTGTTTTTCATAAATCGGAGATACTATAAAACTCTTACACGTAATATTGGTTGCATAACTACGTTTACTGAGATACGATTCTTTCCTGGGGAAGATATCATTATGTT